CCAAGCGAGGCGTCACGTACTCAGGAAGACCCTAATCCGGTCAAATCGCTCTGCCAAGCCCTTCCTCCGGGCGATGCCAGGTGACAGACCATGCATACATGGACCATTGTCTTCCCATCACCGGCACTCAGGAAGTGCTTATCTGCGCATATCTCCAGCTCTGCATATTCCCCCCTCCCTCCTCCATATGTTAATCCGGTGTAACCCAACCTCTCCTTAATGTATTCATGATATAATCTGTGTAACCCAACCTCTCCTTAATGTATTCATGATGTAACCTGTGTAACCCAACCTCTCCTTAATGTATTCATGATGTAACTGGGATGTATTTTGCACTGTATTCTGGGACATGGAGGGAAGTTTCAAAAGTTCATGTCACCCCTTTCTCGGGGTTCAATCTCGCCTTGAACCTGTTGCGCAATAAACTCGGATCTTCTGCAGTTTGCTCCTGTCTCCGGCTGAGCTCATTTTTCTTTCGCAGGGACCCGCGGACTTAGTCCGACGAGCTGGGTGGCAGAGTAGCCCCGCACCCAGATTTTACCGTAACACCTTTACCTTATTTTTCCTTCCCCCGCGACATAATTTCCCCAAGATATAGTGAAGTCATGAAATCCTCCACCAAGCACAAAACCTCATCAAGTTTTCTCTTTTTTTGCAGCCATCGTATATACTTAGTGAACCAGACATGAGGCTTTTTAAGGGCCTCCTCCTAAAATGTATTCAAGGCCTTTCCTGCAGCCTCTCCTTGCCATTCTTGTCTAAGCTGTTTGCATACATACAGACACACGCAATAGATATGCTGAAACATGGTCAAGGAAACAATACAGATCCCATTTAAAATGTCAGTGACTGTGCTTCCAACACTTATTCATTCTCAGATAAATTCTGACAAACCAACAAAATTAATTAAAATATATTCTATAAATCAGCCCCAGCAAGACGGGGGACTAAGTATGGAGTTATAACTAAAAACTTACTTTAGCAAGTCTGTCTCCACATTTAATTTAGTTATATGTACTTCTTTCTTAATTCTGCTGATTTTATCTCATAAGTATATTACTGCTTTATGTACACCTCAAGAGATTTCTTCATGAAGTGGTTTATAAATTTAAAGGGTGGGTTTCTTGTTCTCAAACTGTACATATTGAGACTATACAAAATAACTAGGTAGAAGGATAAAGGTAAAGGACCCCTGGATGGTTAAGTCTAGTCAAAGGCGACTATGGGGTTGCAGCGCTCATCTTGCTTTTCAGGCTGAGGGAGCCAGCGTTTGTCCACAGACAGCTTTCTGGGTCATGTGGCCAGCATGACTAAACTGCTTCTGGCACAACGGAACACCATGACAGAAGCCAGAGCGCACAGAAATGCTGTTTACCTTCCCGCCACAGAGGTACCTATTTATCTACTTGCACTGGCATGCTTTCGAACTGCTAGGTTGGCAGGAGTTGGGGCAAAGGGAGCTCACCCCGTCACGTGGGTTCGAACCACCAACCTTCTGATCAGCAAGCCCAAGAGGCTCAGTGGTTTAGACCACAGCGCCATCCATGTCCCTTTTACCTTTACAAAATAAGTAGAAGAGTTTAAACTATATAGAAGCCTAGGTAAAAAGTAATCAGGCAAGTAATTGTTTAGCTGGGTAGCTAAGCTGGGAAACTGTTGAAAGACTGGAAAGGAAGGAAGGGAGATTTCTAGTGAATCTTTCCATGCAATCCTATGCACGTTTACTTAGAAGGAAGTTCCACGGTATTTGGTAGGGCTTGAACCACAGTAATAGTACAGTCCTGTACACGTTTACTCAGAAGGAAGTCCCATCAAGTTCAGTGAGTTTACAAGTAAGAATCTGGGCAGAGATTTGCAGCCCAGGTGGGTTTAGTTACTGTTGCATTCCTGTACACATTTTCATACACACACAAAACTCAATAGGGCTTGCTTCTGAGTAGACCTGTATAGATTTACAGTGCATAGAAATTATGAAACTACTCATTGACAGCCCTTGTAAATGAGTTTGTTTTTTTCCTTTTTCTCAGCTTAAAATTATTTTGTGAGCTCCAACACCTCCAACTGAAGAGGAAAAATTATAATTCCTGTCACACAAAATATTTAATCGTTGGCAGTGCATAATAAGCTGAATCCAGCGAATAAAATAAATTAACTCAGAAGTCTGAATGAAATTGCCTCCCAAGAATTTTAATGCTCTTCCAAGCATGAAAATAAAACACATTTGCTTCAGGTACTTGTAACCACTTGGCACAAGATAAATGCATTTCCTCTCCCTCCCCGTTCTCCTTTCTTTCTTAATAAAACCAACAAAACATCTCCTTGACCAAACAAAACATTTTATAGTATATACTAAATCCTTGTCCAGTTTTGGCCTCCCAAAAGGAACGTGAGTTTTATTTGTGTCTGATGCAAAGCATCTGTAACTCTCTTCTGACGCCACCTGTTTTCCATCTATCAATATTCCCAGAAGGCTTTTATGCTGCTCTCAGGCGAGGGCCGCAGTCATGCAATTCAGATGCGATTACCGGCTTAAATCACTAGATGGGCCCTATTTGCTTTGAAGTGATTAGATGAAAGCTCCTCTGCATACATCACAGGGGTGTCTTTAGCTAGACTAGTTTGCAGCAATGAAGCAAGCAGGTGAAAGTCACCCTTAAATAGTGGCACAGGCCGTGATGCACCTGTGTTGAGCAAATGCCATACCAGCAAGGACAGTTCCAAATATTACACAATTCCTATCCAGAAAGCATGCCTGTGGGATAATCAGCAGATAGAATGCAGGTCAAGGGACGTAGGGTCCCCTACGTCTTGTTGGGCTATAAGTACTTACAAGAACAGCAGTGATGAATCCTTTGGTTGTGATCCCATTGAGTCCAATGAGGCTCAGTTCCAGGTGAGCCTGCATAAGGTGACAGCATAATTCTGCACACTTCCATTCAGAAGAAAGTCTCCCTGTTTTACATGGAGCTTATTTCCAAGCAAACGTGTACAATACTTCCCCAACCTGGTTCCTTCCAGAAATTGTTCATCTACAACTCCCATCATCCCTACTGGCCATCCCTATTGGTCCAACAATAGGCAGGACAACACAAGACTGGTGTATCAGGCAACTGAATAGGACCACTCTACAGACAACTTCTTCATATCAGGCCATTAGACAGTAAGTAAGTTAAAAATCTTTTATTTGAATTAAATTCCCTCAATTCAATATATATATATATATATATAAACAGATCAAGAGCTGTGCTTTTGCTTTTAGAATATTTAAAGTGATATTTGGCTATAAAAACAAACATAAATATAGTTTTCAGAACGTTCCATATTCTGCATAAATGCCCAGCACAAAGCACAAAACCAAGAAAACAACAGTCACAGTTTGCATACTTTAAATTAATATACTAGAAAAAGCCCCCATGTCGGCACACTTTAGCCAATATACAAAATTGTCTTAAAGCATAGAAAAGGTATCCCAATAAAATCTGTAAAATGTGACACAAGTAATTAGAGGATTAATATTATACCTTTTATAAAATGGTGAATGGATATAAATCAAACCTCTGTTATTTCGCATACAATTCCTGGCAGACCCTCCAAAGTCTGAGAGGAGAATTATGCAAGCAGAGCAGATTTGTGTGTGTTGATTTTTTTAATGGTCACAACTGTCCCTAGTGCAGCCTGTGTGGTTGCTGAGGGATTGCTTTGGTACGGCTAGGACCCAATAAACAACAGAAGAAATATCTTGATCATAAGAGGATTTGATAACAGGACTAGTTACCTAGACTAGTGGTTCCCAAACGGCCCCCACAGACTACTTGACAATTGCTGAGGGTCTTGGCAGACACCTTAACGATTTCCCTGCCTTTTGTAGTAATTGCAATGCACTGGGCTTGATCCATTGTGATTTTATAACTGCATTTTAATTGCTTCTTTTATTTCTTACATGTTGTGTTTTATTGCGTCGAATTCCATAGTATACAGATTTTGAAACAATGCAATAACATAAGAAATCATAGAAGCTGGGAATCACAAGTGGGGAGAGTGCTGTTGAACTTAGGTCCTGCTTGTGGTCTTCCAGTAAGCATCTACTTTGGCCTGATCCTGCAAGTCTCTTCTTATTTCCTGCATCAAGCAAGGGGCAGAGGAGGGTTTTAGGGAGCATGACCAGTTTGGTACACTGGGTGCCGAGCCTTGGGGGCGCAACAACTATGGTGTGGAATGGAGCGTGAGGGGCACGGGTGGGGGGAACTTTGGCATCGCACAGGGTGCCACTGATATTTGAGACCGCAAGGTCCACCACTGCAAGGGGTTGGATTACATCAGGAGTAGGGAACCTGTGGAGCTTCCCAATCTGACTACAACAGATGGGAGATGGAGTCCCCAGCCTTGGACTGGACATCTACAAAGCTCTTCCTAATTCTTACATTTCTATGATTCTATGAAGCATGGCTCCCAGGGTGATTGTATGGACTTACATGCAGGGTTGGTCCAAGACAATTTGATGCCTGAGGCAGAGGAGCAAATGGTGCCTCTCTTCCTGCCCCAACTCAGAGTACAAATATCCATCCCAGCCATCAAAATACAATAATAAAAAACTGAAGATCTAACAATTTGCTGCCTTTCGTAACACTCAAAATTATGGCAAAGTGGCTTCAGCATCACTCTATTAATGTTTGAATGGGCAACTACACATCCAAGGCATTGCTATATCTCAGCTAGATATTAGTCCTGTTGAAAGTCAGCTGATTTAACTCCCTAGAAAAGTTTACCAACAGAGCAGAGGAAGCCAACAAACTGCCCTCTGGGTGTTGGCAGACTCCAGCTCCCATCAGCTCAGCCAACGATAAGGAACAATGGTTCCCCATCCCTGTATTCTGCGTTTTGTCTAACCTGTTCTCTTAGCGAGTTCTGTGCCATTCAACTGCAGCTGGAGAAAGGAGAAAATGCCCAACATGAGCTTACCAATCACCTTTCCCGATTCCTTCCATACTTTTTATCAACTGTCAGTTTCCTCCTGGGATAGATGAAACCCATAAAATGGACAAGCCAGTTCCATGCTGATGTGCAACGTGGTTGACCCTGCCACGCACACAGTCCAGAGAAACAGATATCATTGTACCGTTATGAACTTCAAAGGAGGAGCGAAGCGCAACGCTGGTCCAGATACTTCCTTCTGGCATTTGCCCTCCAACCTGCTGCGCAATTGAATGAGGCTGCCCATGATCACCCAGGAGCTGATTTAGAGTCACCCGGAGCATGTTACACGAGTGGATCAGCTTTATTGAAAACACAACACTGGCGACTCCCCTTTCGGTAAAGACAAAGTATTTCTGAGCAAGTTGCCCAGTAGAAACCAGACGGATCTGCTTCTCAATGGAGGAAACTTGAGTAAAATCCAGTAATTTGTTTCTGACAGCTCCTGTGGGCAGCCCCTTAACGGAGACCGAGGCTGTGAGAGCAGTGGAAACTGCAGATGGGATCCAGATGAGGCTCAGCGTACTAATTCCAGAGCTATCTCCAAAATAACGAATGTTGCATTGTGCTGGCGAAAGGATCTCAAAGCTAATCAGATCCCCGGCTTCAACTTTGGTGGCCCCGGAGGCAGATATCGACGTGTCTCGATAATTGACGCCAGACTTGTGCACCGTCATTAGTTCTGCGTTAGTGCCGTTTCGGTTGAGATAAGACACCAGGGAAAGCCCTTCGCGGATGCAGGTGGGGCCCATGGAGTACAAGGCTTGGTGCAAAACGAACTTCACCACGCCCCTTTCCGTAAACTTGACGGCTCTGCCATCGTGGGACAAGGTTAGCATGTAAGGGTCGGAAAGGGAAACCAATCTGAAAGTTGGCCGGTAGTTCGTTTGGTAGTGCATCGCGGTGGACAGCTGCGCAGTCATGGCTACCGCCCCCGTATCGTGGGATAACCAAAGCAAACTGAGGGGCGTGTTGAGGTCGTAAACGTTGAAGTCTTTACTTTGGTTGCAGAATTGATTGGGGCTCTTCAAAAACAGCCAGAGAGCTTGGCCTGGCTCTACCTCCGCAGTGCCGCTCACACTGACGCTCTGGAAGATTTTGCCTTCCGGCTGCTCGATGCGGACTGCGCTTAGCTCGCAGCCTTCCTCCTCCTGGCTGCTGACTTTCAAGGCAAGCTGGAGGAAATTCCTGCAGTTGTGTTTCACGGCAAAATTGAAGTCGGCCCACATTAGGCCGTGCTGCTTGAAGACCAGGCTGTTCTCTTCCACCGTGATGATGTCCCACTCGTACTTCCCCTTTATCTTCAAGGTAACGCCGGGATAAATTTGAGAAGCGCCAGAATTTGCCATGGGTAAAATGACATTCGCAGTCCAGGACTCGGACAGCTTGTTCTCACTGGCTGTTGAGCAAACGGTGTCGCTGACAGTGGAGCAGGGGAGAACGACCGCCCTGTCTTCACACATTAAGCAAGCCTGGCACTCTTGCAGCTCTTTGTTAAAGAAATACTCTTCTCCGCACAATCCCAAGGCAGCTTCTTTTGCTGCAATTCCAAGGCATCGGAATCCTCCTGTTCACACACAGGGAAATACAGTTTCAGCCGCAGGCCCATGTTGCATTATTATTAGTCTATCATTATTATTGTTATTATTATTTGCACTTACTAGTCATGCTGTTTTTTCCCTTTTACACAAAGTAACCCAAAGCAACTTACTAAGTTTTCTGTTTTACAGTTTAAGATACTCATTTTAAATCTTAAGGATATCAGTGACTTCCCTTCTTCTCTTTCAATGGTTCATTTTACATATAATAAATCCCTGCATATTTTACAGAAACATTTAGTATTCCTTCTTTGCATCCATCAGAACTTATTTACACTGTTGAATTTATCTTGATGCTGCTAGCATTTCCAGCTGTACACAATTATTTCCCATATAATCCATAAACATTTTCCAATCATCTTTAAACGTATGTTTTTCTTGTTCTCTCTTTCTATATGTTAAGTCTTCGAGTTGTGCATAGTCTGTCAACTTAAGATGCCATTGGGACCTCACTCGTTTTCCATTTTGGGGCTAACAAAACATGGGCCACAGTAGTAGCATACAGAAATAACCTTTTTTGACACCCAAAGCAACAAACAACCAGTTGCTGAAAATATTTATATCCTGTCTGTCCATGCTCTTAAGGCACCATACAATAAAAACGTAATGTTGCAGAGGCAATATATACCCCAAGAGGGCTGTCATTTATCCCCTTCTAAATTAGATGGAGGACCGCATGTTGAGATCCCTGCATTGCAGGGGGTTGGACTAGAAGACCCAGCTCTACCGCTCTATGCTTCTGTGTTGATTAAATTGCATGTGTTTCTATTGAACTATTGCCATTACTTACATACAAATATAACTGATAGACCCAATTTTTAATTTGCATGCAATAATTCTGAAGCACGATGGCTGGAGCTGATGGGAGTCCAAAAATAAAAAAATAATTTAGAGAGTGTAGTGAGTCCTGTTGAAGTGGCTTGAAGGGGATGTTCAGGGAGTGGGATATATATGTAACTCAAAACTTGTGTATCATCAAATTAAATTGGGAGGGGCTCCCCAGTATATATTTCATGACTAAGTATGGCTGCCACTAAATTATTTGCAATAATTCTATAAATGCAGCACTTGTAAAGAGAACATACTGAATTGAAATAATGCATTGCAACATAAAAGTGATTTTTTCCCCCTAACAAAGAGTCCTGAAAGCTCTTATTCTTCAGCCCAACTCCACAATTTCCACTTGAAACTGCACCATGAGGGAACATTCCTGCCTTCATGAATGGCTTCATTCACAGAAATGCAGCAATTTACCTGGAGTGTTCAGGCACTTGATCCTTTCTCCACAGATGTTTGGTGATTCAATGCACTCATCTCTATCCTACGAGTAACAGACAACAAGAGTCAGGTTCAAACACGTTGCATAGCTTTGGGGCATCATGCTGCTTGGAGAACGGCCAGTGTGGCCAGGTCAGGGTCCATCGACCGAGGAGGGAGACCCAACCCAGGACACTTTGCCCAGGGGCCCATCAAACTTGGATGTGGACCTGATTGTAGAGGCTTACGGAAGTGAGATATACATTGTGTGAAGGGCCGTAGCTCAGTGGTGGAGAATCTATCTGCCTTGCATGTAGAAGGAGAGCTGCTGCTAATTGGTGTGGACAATATGGAGCTAAATGGACTCAGCATAAGGCAACTTTCTATGTTAAATGTGTAATTTGTGCTGGAGCATACAGGCAAAAGTGAAAAGACTACAGACATAATAAACGTCGTTTGCACAAAAAATAATGCAACGAAACCCAAAAGTATATAATACTGAAACATGGGTACAGTGGTACCTCGGGTTACAAACACCTCAGGTTACAAACACTTTGGGTTACAGACTCCACTAACCCGGAAGTAGTACCTCAGGTTAAGAACTTTACCTCAGGATGAGAACAGAAATCGTGTGGCAGCAGCGGGAGGCCCCATGAGCTAAAGTGGTACCTCAGGTTAAGAACGGTTTCAGGTTAAGAACGGACCTCTGGAACGAATTAAGTTCGTAACCAGAGGTAGCACTGTATTTGTACTTTAACTTTAGTTGGTCTGGCTGTGACCTTTCAGTGGGGCTGTTCCTTTTTGGGGGAAAGGTACCATTGAGATTCCGAGCACAATGATCTTTCACCTGGCATATCCGATCAGCATTTGTCGAGCACTCAGACAGCTGGAAAAAGCCAGCAGGGCATAAGGTGCATTTTTCACACTGCGAGGGTGTCTTTTGGAAATTACAAAATTCGTCACTTTCACAAAGGCCACAGTCCATTAAAGGTTCCCCAACATCAATCACTTTGGCATCGACTTCTACTTTATGCATGGAGTAGGACTTTTGGAGATGGCTTCTGACTTGGTTCTGAAGGCCTTGGAGATTGGCTTCGAAATAATGTTGAATATCCTCTTGCAAACTCTGAAACGACATTTGCTTCACCGTGTCAAAAAGCATGCCATACTGGACCTTGATCAGATCCATTTGTTCATACATTTTCCTGTGTTGCTCTACGATTTCCCGCTGCTGAGCCACCAACATGCTCTGCTGCTCTGCAAGTTTTTGCTGTAAATCCACAATCACCGCCTGCTGGCTTTTTAGCAAGTCGACAAATTTCTCTTGTCCTTTCGTAAGCTGAAGTTGCAGCACAAGCGCATCCTCAGACGGAACCTCGTTTCCCCCTAAAATACAAACAACCTGGCATTAAAACATAAATCCTTGGTGGTATTTCTCAAAACATCATCAAACGAGGTCACCAGAATGTGTGACAGGACTTGCTGGAGCATTTAGCTTGGTGCAAGCAAATAGCATTCAAGGGCAGAAATAAAGCAAAGCCGTGTGTGTGTGTAATCCATATGGGGAAATGTCCTGCCATTAAACCAAGTTGATGTACCCTATTTTTGATACCCAGAAGTCTTCATCAGGCACTATTTGCCTGATGAAGAGTTCAGAATATTTCAAAGCTTGAATCATTTCGTTATGTATGTGTTTTTCTATTGGCCTTAGCATGTTGCTGTGCTATATTATTTGTTGCAGGCTAAGTCCAGCCTCACACCCAGAATCAGCACACAACATCCTTGGGCAGGTGGCGGAGCTTCAGCTTCAGGGCCCGGCTCCACCAGAGTGCTCAGCCTCCTTCAGAGGATGCAACGTTGCAGAAGACTGCACCAGTTTGCGGGGTGTCAGGAAACGTGTGAGATGTCGCGCAATGCATGTCACAGACGTGCGCTGTGCGCCGGTCACTCTCAGTCTTGGGGGCAACCTGGCGCCTCTGCAGATGCCTGCGGGAAACTCACAAATGAGATTCGAGCACAACAGCACTCTCCCCTCCTGTGGTTTCTAGCAACTGGTATTCAGAAGAATTACTACGGAAGCAGAGCATAGTCATCTTGGCTAGCAGTCACTGAAACATCGGGAAAGGTGATCAGAAACACAGACTTGAACTGGCTATATATATATTATGTTTTACCATTTAGAATATTCATTTAAACATCCTTAAAATATCAATGACTTCCCTTCTTCTCTTTTTGCATATCATAAGTCTCTGCATATTTTACATAAACTAAACCATTCAGTATTCCATTATTACATCCATCCAAACTTATTTACACTGCTGAATTTATCTTAATGCTGCCAACGTTTTCAAGTGTACACAAGTTCCCCCCCATATATTCAATAAACATTTTCCAATCTTCTATAACCGTATGTTCTTCTTGTTCTCTTATTCTATATGTGAAGTCCGCATGCTGCACATAGTCCATCAGCTTAAGTTGCCATTCCTCTTAGTTGGGACCTCGCTCGTTTTACATTTTAGAACTGGCCTAGTTTAGACACCACACCTACCTGGTTTGACATCACAGGTCAGCTGAACGCCCAGGGCAGCACCGCCTAGTTCTGAAGCTGTGTAGGCAAGGTCTTCTCCAATGAACTGGGCTGCCCTCTCAGTTGCTCTGACCAAGGTGGGCTCTTGGCAACCTTCCCCCTGTTTTGGAGGGCATGGGATGGTCTGGGTAGCTGGCCTGGACTTCTGGCGAATGTGCAGAGGCAGCCTGCACTCAATGCCTTTGCAGTCCCGAACGGTGCCATTGGGAGCACCAGGGCTGCAGTCTCCTCCTCCAGAGCAACTCTCTTCTGCGCCCCTCGTGGCGGCCAAGGCAGCATGTCCCAGGCTGCTGCCCCCTAGAGGCTGTTGCAGCTGCCCTTGCACAGGTGTGGTGGAGTGGGCAAAGGCACGAGAAGGGTGCCTTGCCCTTCCTGAGCAGTGGGGGCCCTGGCAGTGTTGTCTGCTGGGCTGATGTTCGCTGTCACTGCTCCGGCTGCATGGGGGGCTCCGGCAGTGCGCAGCGCCGATGCATCCTCTTTCGCCAGCCAGAAGCCACAGGCAAACCCCTAGCCAGCAACAGAAAGCCCAATGGAGCTGTCTCGCCAGCATCTCCAGCGTCACCTGCAAGAGGAAGAGAGACCTTGGCAGTCCCTGGGGCAAGAAGAAGAGGAGTTTGGATTTGATATCCCGCTTTATCACTACCCTAAGGAGTCTCAAAGCGGCTAACATTCTGCTTTCCCTTCCTCCCCCACAACAAACACTGTGAGGTGAGTGGGGCTGAGAGACTTCAGAGAAGTGTGACTAGCCCAGGGTCACCCAGCAGCTGCATGTGGAGAAGCGGAGACGCGAACCCAGTTCACCAGATTACGAGTCTATCGCTCTTAACCACTACACTGGTTCTCTTGGGCAAGGGGCAAGGAAAGCAGAGAGGCAAGGAAAGCACTGGGGCAAGGAAAGAGAGACCAAGTCTGTGCTTTTAGGGCATTGGCATACAGGTCCAATTTGCAGGTAGCACTCTGCCTTAATATGAACCAGCAAGTGTGCGGATTCCTGGAGTGAAGATCTCCAGTACTGAGTACCTTACTCAGTCCGACTGCTGCAAGTCTACTCAGGTCTAAGCCATGATTTGGTTTAGCTTTATGTTCAAACTCAGGCTTACGTTCGTCTCCCCCAGAAAAACCACAGGTGGTAAATGAAAAGCAAACCCTGGTTATAACTTTTGGTTTTTCCCCAAAGCAATACAAACCTCAGTCATGGAAGCAGCAGGAACTGGTGAGTAATACAGCAGCTATGAACCTGCATGTTTGCTCATTCATGCTAAGGCATATTTTCGTTTAGCATTACATGCATATTGGATCAAAGAAAGAAAACAACAGTTTTTAAGAAAGATGCTGTCTGTTAGAAACTAGAAAGCAGTGGTATGTTAAGACAGAATTCTCGGTCTGGGTGGACCAAGTGCAAATCCCAGTGGGACAGGCAACCATTGTTATCTCTACTACCTCTCAGGATTATTGCAAAGGCCCGTGGGAAAAATGGTAGAAGTCACTGTGTCATAGGGGTTAGAGGGTCTTATGCCACACAAGCAGTGACGTCACAGGGTCACTGTCCAATTGAAGTGTTTGTCTAGAACAACTGCTGTTCCTACCCCACCCCAAGATGCGATAGCTGTGCTTGATAGGGGCAAAACAACCATTTCTCCCATCTTAGCAGGGATTTCTGAAACAATATTAACTAGGCTGATGAGCACAGGCTGGCCAATGTTTACAGATGCCCTAAAACAAAATCCAGATTCTTAGAATAGAGGAGGGAATATTGGACATACCATATTTATCCTGAGGAGAGAAATATCCATAAACAATACTGGTATTAAAAACGGAGAACAATAACAAAACAGCAAAGCATAAAATGTTAGGAAAGCCATTGTTGTTAGTAGAAAAGGGTTCAGATAGGAACATAGGAGGCTGCCTTATACGGAGTCAGACCATTGGTCTACACTGTCAACACTAACTGACAGCATCTCCGCATTGTTTCAACCTGGAGAACACTGGGAATTGAACCCAGAACCTTCAGCATGCAAGTCAGATGCTCTACCACTGAGCTATGGTCTTTCCCCCAAGGATTACATCCACAATTGCAACTGACAAACTTCCTTAGAGAGGGAGCTCCACACAAGGATGCCACCACAGAGAAGGCCCTCACCCCTCAAAATCCTAACAGGAAAATCCAGAAAAGGACCTTACTCCAGGTATGGGTGACCTCTCTGTCCCTTCAGTAGTACTCAGCTCCCATCAGCCCCAGGCATCATGGCTAATGTGGTCAGGGATGATGGGAGCTGCAATTCAACAGGTTCTGTATCCCTGCCTTAGTGGATTTCACCAACAACAATCAGGTTTGGATGGAAGAAGACAGCCTTTTAAATCTTGATCCTGGAACTGAATTAATTTTAATGATGAGAAGCAGCACCTCTGTGTCCAGAAGCAAACTGTTGATCAATTGACAGTATTCCAAGGTATCCCTTCTGAAAGGCTCAAACTTCTCTTCTTGTGTTAAGGTGGGGCAGAGCTGGCGGGGGGGAGGGCGGAATCAAACATACATTTTAGTCCGTGAATGTTTAAAATTTGCATTACAGAGGCAGAGTGAAACATAAAACCTAAAGGGAGTCTCGCAAATGTTGGAACAAAATCAACAACCACAGCAGCGAAGGAACTTCCTCTCAGCCACCCAACCACATCCTAAACATGTTCTTTGGAAGTTAAGCCCCACTGATTACTGCAGGCCTCACATTCCTATACTTAGTAGGATATCACACGTTTCTATTCATCTGCCTTAGAAAAACCGAAAAGATCAGATGCAGCGGATCTGAGAACAGTCCATCTGCAAGAAGAATTCTAGTTAGGTTTTAATAGCAAGCAATATTTTTTGTAATCGTTGTTATTTTTATTCTATTATCCTAACTACCTGTCCCATCAACCTTTCAAGAAAGCTCTAAAAGGGTTCCCTTAGCACAACTTCGTTGAATTCAGGAAAAATAACTTTATTCTGGCAGATTTATCCCCATCTGGAGAAACAAAGCTGCAGTAAAAGTCTTTCTCCTTACAATATAGACAACCCCCACTCCCGAGCTGGGTACATTCGCCTATGAACTTTTAACTGACTGTTAAAACACTCTTTAAAAAAAAGAGAGAGCATGATCCAACCAGTCTTACGGGAGAAAACGAACTGCTTACCTTAAAAATAAAAAAAAAGAGCAGATAGCCGAAACCAGTAGTTTTGGGGAGATCTAATGTTCTGCTCTTTGGATCTGGACAGAGATGAATCAATGATCGCGTGAAGAAGGCAAAGTTTGTTTTGCCTCCACGGCGGGAAACACCTCCTCCTCAGAAACCCTGGAAGGGAATGTTAAAGTGCAACAATTCTTTTAGGCATCATTAGCATCGGGTTTCCCAGGACCCTCCCTTTAACTCTTTAAATCCCGCGCTGCCGCAGAGGCAGGAAAAGGTTCAAGGAGGAGGAGGCTCCGCCGTTCAGAGGTGAGTTGCGATTGATTTAGCCTCCCTGGTTGCAGCAGCTTCAGGAGGGGGAGGCAGAGCAACACTGGGAATCTGGTTACGGAATTAACTGGGGAGCGCGCAGGTCTTGACTGCAGGGAGAGGGCGAAGAACCGCGTTTGGGCGAAGATGAAAGGCTCCTCCTGTCACCCCCGAGTCAAAACAAAAAGTGACGCCGGTATTAGCGTCAAAGCCAATCAGCATCAGGAAGGGACTCAGCCCGCCTCGGCCGGCCACTCTGACCCCTGTCTAACAATATGTGCAACCAGTGCTGAATTTACGTATTAGCTAAACAAGTTATAACTTAGGGCCCCACTCTCTTGGGGACCCCCCAAAAAAATTAAAGAGGAAAGAAACCTGGATGTGCATTTCCAAAATATAAGATAAAAAGCAAATAAAATAAAACCTACATACAGCAACAGTGTGGCTAGCTGTGGGAAAGAATCTTCCCGGAAGTTCACAGTAATGGGCCCTGCCTGCTAGCCTGCTCCCTAAAATATCACTGGTTTGCTCATTTCCATATATAGGGTACCTACATTCTGCATGGACTGATTGGTTTGCTCATTTCCATATATAGGGTACCTACATTCTGCATGGACTGGTTGCATGGCAACCTGTGCAAATGGCTTTAGATACCTATTAGCTCCATAAATTACCATATAGCATATATTCAACACAGAAAACAGCGACAATTTGTTGTTGACAAAGGACAGCTGGACATAGAAAGGGCCCTGTTACCTTCAGTAGCTTAGGGCCTCATCAAACCTAAATCTGGCTCTGCGTGCAATGTTGCTCTGCAAGTTAAAGAACCCAGATTTAGCCATTGGTTTCTCCCTCTGAGACAGGGTTGAGAACCTGTGGCCTTCCAGAGGCAGTTGGGACTTGTCCACAGTTGCGCATTATTTGGCTGTTAAGCCACTTCTTTCGGTTTAAAAGAGAAGTCCACACACGCACATAATAGGAATCTATATATCAGGAACCACTTTGGATTTTTCTGTTCCCACCAGTAGGTGTTCCCTTTTGTATTTTGTTCCCTATTATGCAGATTCAGTACCAACAGGGCATGCGTGGAGACAGGTGAGTGTGCATCTTGTTTGTTTTAATTTTTAAGCTCACTGTGCAGGTAGTGTTCAAAAGGACACAGTCAGCCAATTATAAATCCTCAGCACACTTTTCAGTGTGGGTTACCTGTGCAGTTCTGCAAATCTGAGGAATCAATAGCTAGCTAGCTATGCAGGAATCTATTTATGCTCCTGCATCAGAAATACTTACCAGCACCTCTGGAAATGAAATGACATGAATTGCAAATTCTTAGCATACACTTCAGATTCATGTTGCTGCTCAATATCTAGTGCAATTTATATATATATATATGATTTGCTGGTGCAGTTTTCTGGTTTTGTGCAAATCTGAGGGATCAAAAACATTTATGTGCTTGAGTGCCATAAATAGTTACAAGTGCTACATAGTTACAAGTACTAAGGAAATGAAAGCACTGAGGATATACAGTGGTACCTCTGGTTATGAACTTAATTCGTTCTGGAGGTCTGTTCTTAACCTGAAACCGTTCTTAACCTGAGGTACCACTTTAGCGCTCGATTTCTGTTCTCATCCTGAGGTAAAGTTCTTAACCCAAGGTACTACTTCCGGGTTAACGGAGTCTGTAACCCAAAGTGTTTGTAACCCGAGGTATAACTGTAAATGGAATGGTGAGGAGGAGGAGGAGGAGAAAGTAACAATTGACCCACCCACACCAAAACAAATAATCTACAAGCCCAAGTGAAGCAGTTTGGAGCCTGATTTTCCCCAGTTTGTAGAATTATCCCTATATAAGGTAACCCCAAATTTATAGTGGAAAGCATTGAGATTGGTGTTGTTTGAAGGTGGGCTTCCTCCTATCCGCCCTCACAATTGGCTGTGTGGGCTGGGGCTGATGGGAGTTTTGAGTCCCAGCAATATCTGGAGGGCCACAGGTTTCACATCCTGCACTGAAAGATCAGGTGGCTTGGAAAGACCTTTACCTGAGACCCTGATGAGATGCTACCAGTTACAGTAGGTAAGACTGTACTAGGTTATGGTATTTGCAAAAGCATGCACGAATCTTTGCTATACTGTGATTGCTCTGTCCTCAGATATTTGCGTATTTAAATCCATGTGCCAGTGTGAAACTTAATTCCATCTTTTCAGTTTCTCTCTAGTATTTGTATATATTGGATTATTTTTTTATGTTCAAATCAAATGTACAAAAAAGTAGATGGTTCAGTACATGACAGTACATGAATAAAACAAAACAGTAGAATGCTACAACATCCAACATTCTGCCCTACTGAAGTACATAAAAGAGTACGTAATAGAAGAAGTGTGTTGCTACCATTTATAATTTAACTGAAAACGAACTTGAAAGATTCCTAGAGATAGATAGGCAGTTTTGCAATCCCGACTCCGATTTAAATCTCTGAGAGATTTGTAGTTGATCTACTGTAGAGAGCCATCTGGTCTATATTTTATTCAGCGTTTGAATCATAACACTATACTTTTATTGGCCGTGCAGAGTTAGCTCTGCAAATGCATTGTTTTATTCTCTGTCTGTTAAATGTGAAGTTGGTGTTTCATTTTTGCTAGCAAAGTGTTATATTCGAAAGCTAGACATGTTTTAGTTCTCAGCCGTTCCCCTAAAGTGGCACAAAAGCTGCTCTGGACATCGTCAGCCTCAATTTCAACAAAAGGTTTATGTTTCAATGATTTCTCTCACATTTTGCAGCTCACATTTGTATAAGTTATATATTTTTTTGTACTCATAGGGGTGATATTAAATGTTAGTCATACTCAGAGCCACTGAAATCAATGCACTTAAGTCATTTTAGTCTGACTCTATACCTAATGTCAGATATTTTCCTATACATTCTGCATTCCATTTGTGATACCAAAAACTAAAAAATAGTGATAAGTTTTCATTCAGGCTTCTGAAAGAAACCAATACCAATACCAATGCTGTGTCCTTGGAACATCTTACTACTACCAGTGAGGTGAGCATTACACACAGTGGGAACTCAGCCGAACTCAGTTTGGGCACCTCTTAGCTGGGCTCGATTGCCATTCTAAGAGCATGAGGGCGGTGTTCACGGTGAGTTCCAACACTTCTTTTTCTAGAAAAATAGCACTGATTACACACAAATTGCCACCAGCCGCTGATTTTCCTCAACTTTGAAATCAGATAAGGAGGAAAGGCAACACTTTTGTTAGCTAGAAAGTGCTGTCCTCTGCACAGAAATAAGTACCACAAAGTTCAATCAATTGCACTTGCTCTCTAGCGAGTGAGTTTAGGATTGCAGCCTTGATCATCTGAAGCTACTTGCTCACGCATTTAGGGAGTTGGAACACCTCACTTGCATTACAGTTTCAACTTCAAAGGGAATGTCTTTCTGTTTAAAATGGCCCTAGCTCAAATACGTACCAGTAAAGAACAAAAGAAGTCTCTTGCTTTAGATATGAGTTGGAGCCATTCCAGTATTGGCGTTTTGTTTGGAATAAGCTGGTTGATACCAGCATACTCACATGCAAAG